ACAGGACTCGTGGCTGAACATCCTTATCCTGCAAGTCTGTGCGAAGGCTAAGTCTTTACAGATATCACTCTTCCGAGTCAGTAAAAACTTCAGGATTTGCCTTTTCCTTATACACAGACCCAAGGAAAGTTACGGAAACCAGACAAGAAGGACATTTCAAACAGTGGTAACACCCTGCTGGGGAAGAAAGGAAAAGAGGTTTGAGATACTTTCTTAAGCAACCTAGGTGACAGATGAGCACTTTTGTAAGAATGTTCTAACAAGGTGTCTGTGGGAGGTGCGAGTGGGAAGGAAAAATAAATAATAAATAAATGTTATAATGAGACTTTGGTGTAAAATAAAATAAAAGTTTGGCCCCATCAGGAAGGAGAAAGCAGGACAACAATGGGATGAAAGAGCCAGAGGAAAACTTTGTAAGGATGGGAGACACTGGCAGAGTCACTAAGTGAGGGAAAGGGGACAGGACATGGGAGAGGAGTAACACCGTGGAAGGGGCAGCTCTTCCCCCAGGAGGAGGAATCACTGGAGAGGAGTAACACCACGGGAAGGGGCAGCTCTCCCCCCAGGAGGAGGAATCACTGGAGAGGAGTAACACCGTGGAAGGGGCAGCTCTTTCCCCAGGAGGAGGAGGAGGCACCGGAGGGAACTGTGGCCACAGGAAACCCGTGGAGTCTGAGAACAGAAGCAAAGTGGGGCAAGGCCACTGGAGGAGGGGAGCATGGAGGGAGGGACAGAGGCGGGTTGCCCAGCAGAGAAGCGAGGATCGGGGACAACTGTTGTGCCCAGGAAATCAAAGTCCCCGAGCGAGAAGCCCACCGAGCAGAGTGGGTGCTGCAGCGGGGCCTGGGGGCCACAGGTCGAAGGATGGAAACGAAAGGCCTGAGGAGGCTCAACAGACCTCAGTGCGGCTTTTTAAAATAAAGGAGCCACCTCCTCTCCTGCAGGGAGGGGAGATAAGCCCCTTAACCAAGTGCTACGGAAACTGTTCCGGAACCAAAGCATCCCACCCACATGTGTGTGGGAAACGGGCTGCGGTTCAGCCGGACACGTACTATAGTGTAGCTGCGTGTGCGTGTGCATGCGTGCGTGTGCACACTCTAAAACCAGGAGTCCAGTGGTTGAATTTCTGACCCAAAGGTTTCCAGCACTTTAAATGCAACTATAGATGAAACTGAAATGGTGAGGATGGCTGGCTATTTAAGAAAAAGTAAAGATAAAGGACAGATCTGTTAACCTCATTGCTTAAATTCTTGAAAGAGCTCCCTGAACTAAAGTCCCTCTGGTTTGAAATGTCTATTATCCCACTTAGAACTTCCCAGCCAGCAACGCCCCTCCGCGAAGCAGACAACAAATGAAAGGCAGGCATAGGTGCCTGGTGCTCTCGCCCACGGTGTAAAGTTCAACCGATTTTATCTAACTCTCCAGTGTCAACAAATTCTAGGTTCTACATAGGCAATTCTAAACTCGAAAAATTCAGTTCTCTCAGAACCACGTCTCTTCCTGGATCTCAATACAATTTAAAATGGCATTCTGTCACTCTGCGTAGGTTGAAACAGTAACACTGTGGGAGTTACAGAGTCACTGCCCTAACTCCTTCCTAAAAAAGAAAAGTTTCAAGCAGCTAGAAAAACTGGGAGAACAAAACACAAATTACCAAAACAACGAACATGCAGTGGCAGTGATGTCAGCTGCAGACGTGTCCGTCCCTCAGCCTCACAGCAGCACGGAGGGGCGGGTGCTGTGACCACTGCTTCCATTTTACAGGTGAGAAAAACGAGGTGCAGAGGTGGATCAAAGGAGTATTATATTCACCTGGTGCAACTGTTAAAATCACAGGCTTGGAAGTCACCAGCACACAACACAACAAGGAAAATGAATACTCATCTCTGGGCCATAAAACCAAATTCTGAAGGTCTTTGATTTTCCGACTGCACTGCGTTCTCTGAGCTCCAGGGAGGACAAGAACAGACTGGCCATCTCCCCCAGGTGGTAACAACAACAGGTCCCCAGAGAGGGCTGGTGCTACTCCGCCATCACAGATTCATACCCACCGCAAGCACAAGCCGCGTCTGATTTTTCAAAAGTGCACTCACACAGACTGCTAAGAGCAGAGACGTGTCTGTTCAAGGATCACGGAGGAAGACTCTTCAATTAGCCTTCAACACAAGACTGGCCAAAGACTGGGAATCTGATTAAGTGAATCTACGATCCGTCTCTGGAAACTTCCGGTCTTACGAAACCGCCATCTACTGAACACCCGTAGACGTTTCACGGCTTACTGACACGGCCACCTAACTCTGATTAGTCACCAATGAGCAATTACTACAGTCAAGTCTAACTGCGGGCTGCAGCCTGATGCATTCAATCTAGGATTAGCCAAGACATGTGAGCAATGCTGATGATGCAAAGCTCACATTCACTGCCTAACTGACTTCTTAGAAAAAGAAAAAAGAAGAAAAAAAAAAGAAGAAAGCAGGTATATTTAAAACACTGCAATTGAACTTCCACTTACATGAATAATAGCTGGTCGTTGTTAGGAAGCTGGGAAGATGCAGGAAGAACAGCTAAGGGGCTTCCGTTGCCACCAGCAGCCCTCGGAAAGGCCAGCCCCATGGGAGAGGCGGTCCTTACCCTGTCAGCACACAGCACCCTTTTTTAACGACATGAAGGCGGCTGGGAAATGCTGGGGTTTGGGTAACAGCAAGGGCTGCAGAACTACAACGTCTGGGCCCAGACCCAGACCCTGCTTTGAGCAGAGAGACCCTGGGTCAGTTCCTCATCCTCTCCGAGCCTCAGTGCCTTCACCTGCAAAACGGGGTGATGGTAACATCTACCACCAAGACAGCCACAAGGGGTGAGGAGATCAAGGCACAGGAGGCACGGATTCGAGTATGGGACGGAGGGCGTGCTTGTTAAGTGCCTGCTGGTACCTCTTCACCACCACCCCAAACCATGATTCAGGGGGAAAGGACAAAATAATACAAAGCTGATGCCTGCTGGCACTCGACTGCTAAAGTAAATGTCAGCAATATTCTCCGGAGATTTCCCACCCTGTCATCAGTATACCCCTTCCACGGATGGCTTTTCATTGCTCCTAAAACAGAAGATTCCAAGTTATTTACATCTTCATTCCTTCAAGAATAAATACGTCAAGTGCATTTGGCCTTGGTTCTCTCATTACCAATTATGTCTTGGTTATTTACAATTCTTCCATATTTGAAGTATGTTTTCTAAGCCCCAGAAGATTACTTACAACTGCCTGCTAAACAGCCAAAGAATCATCCTAGCTCAGATCCACCCGCGTCTTCTGCTAAAGTCTGTCCTGACTCAGCCCCATTTCTCTGCCTTGGCCCAGTTTCAGCGTGGCCACCTCGGGTTCCTGCAGACCCCCCCAGACCTCCCTGCCCATCCCCTCCGCCTAACCCGCCCTCTGTACTCCAGGAAGACCATCTTTTGAGGGACGAGGGGGGCTGAGAGGCATCTGATCCATCATTTTGCTCCTTGAAAATGGACCACCCAGCTACAGATTAAAAGAGACTTAAGATATCAACCAATGAACAAAGTGTGCCAAAAATGTTCTGAGACAAGGAAATGAGAACACTTTCATGATGTTAAAGAATTACTAAGTCTGTGATAAGGCCTTTCTCTTTTACAGATAAGACACCTAGAGTAGCAAGTCAGGGTGAAGGGAGGCGTCTGGATTTCCCGCGCGGTAACCCGTCTGCTGCAGGCCAGGAGCTGGGTAAGAGGCGAGCCAGCACCGGCCCTCCGCGGACAGTGCTGGCAGCGCGTGCACGGGGCGGGGAACTGTTAGTCTTCCATCCCAATACTGCGAACACCCGGGAATTTCCATAATCAAATGTAATGCAAGAGGGAAGCCACTCATCTCCAGTTGCCTACAAGACTCGAGAACGACTTCTGAACGACACACTCACAAGCAAGTGTGACAGTTGCCTGCCCCCTTCCCCGGCCCACACGCCACCCGCTGCTCACGCCAAACCTGCCAGAATGTTCACAGCACCAGGCCAGGCCCCTTCACCTCCCGAGTCCCTGCACAGGGTCCCTCCTGCCCGGGCGGTCTCTCTAGGCCCCCAGACACACTGTGAGCCCTGGTTCAAAGGGCCGCATCTCCGAGACCCTCCCCATCTTCCTGAAGCCCCCCTGCACTCACCCCTGACCCCAACCCCCAGTTACTCTGGTTCCTTAGCATTTCTTCTTCTGGTTTTCCTTTTTCTTTTTTTTTCCTATTTCTACACCCCACCACAAAGGATTAGAGCCTCCTTAAAAGCAGAAGCTGTTTTTCATTTGTTTCAATAAATATTCCCTGTAATTTGCATGGAAAGCAGTAATTGTTTAGTAAGTGCTTTGAAACCCAGGAAGGAAAGTCAACAGAACAACAGTCACTCCGGCAAATGGCAGCGGCCACAAAGGCCCAGCAGACCACAGTGCCCCCGCCCTCAACACACCAATGCTCACCGTGTTCTTTAAAGAGTCAGCTGTCATTTTCTCAAGGCGTACGTTACACACCTTGAAAGAAATAGCATCATCGTTTAAAGAAGAAACTACACCCAAAGAGATGCGGGCAGCTTATTTTCCTGTTTCTAAAAGAGGCACGAGCTGACTCAGGACACTGACGCTATCATTACGTCTCACCTGGCGTGGTCGTGAGAACATGTATTCTGTCCTGTTGAAAAGACTATGCACTATTTCTCATTCCACAATGATAAAAGTCAAAATGCCCCATAACGTGAAACAGCATCTCGGAACCACACGTCAGAGAGACACAGGTACAGACGAGAACTTATCAGCAAAGGCCTGTAAACTCTCCCTTTGTGACGGCAAGCAGCCGAGATGCTTCCCAGCCCTGAATTATGAAATAAACGTTAATGCAGAATTACGGCACTGCTGACATGGCCAGCTGTTCCTAACGCTTCTCTGTACTTTGAGGAAATCATTTAGTTGCTGCATCACACGTTGTACAAAAAGGAAGAAACACCTACTAGTATAAAACTTCATTTGCTTCGTGTCTTTCGTATCTCACAGTTTCACACATCAATCTGTAAAACAAAAAATAAAGACATGAGTTCAACATCTGTCATGAAAAAACAGACAAATAGTTTACAAGTGTAAATGAGACGTGCTGTAGAAAGTGAAGATAAACTTATATGAATAGTCACAATCATTTATTAGCCTCAAGACAAGTATTTCTGGTGCCTAGGTTAACAAAATAAAATAAAATCTGGTAAATTTTATGCTAACAAAGAAACATTTTGTTGGATGTCAACTTTGCCATGTTTATTTTATAGGAAACAAAATTGTATGTGTTTTGTATTTTGTAAATGACATGTGGAAAAATTAATGTTCCCAAGGTAAACAGAAAATGAGAAGGAACCTAAAAATCAGAAAGGAAAACCTATTCATTTAAAAAGTGATAACGTCATTCGCAGGTCAACATTGATGTGACTTAACAGCACGGAATTTCAGACAAAAGTAGGCTTGTATTAAAGTCAGCACTGGTATGACTAACGGCCAAATGGAGGCTTTCCAACTTAAAGATTTGTTATTTCAGCTGATTCATCCCTGAGGAAAAAAAAATCATGAAAGTTATGGAAAACATGAATGAATGTTTAAATATTTAAAATTATCTCAAAAACAGCATCTTCCAAAAGCATCCAATTATAAGCCCAAGTAAAATTTCCCAAAAGCACAGACACGCCAAAGAGGAAATGACCCCTCTCATGGAGGCACTAGTAAATGGAAGAGGCGGCTGCAGAAGTGATGGTTTCACCAGCACCTCTGTCCTGGTCAGCGGGGCTCCAGCCCCCGGCCTGTGACACACTGCTATCGACACAGCCACCTTCCCTCTGTCTGCAAAATCCAACGCGTGCCACACACCGTTAACTCTTCACTTGAAGACAACTCTCTGGCCCTGCTCTTCTCACCCCACCTTAGAGACCCCCCCTTATCCTCTCAGTCCCGTCCTGGACACATACCACCTGAATGTCACTAACTCCAGGAAGCAGCAGCAAACCTTAAATCCACATCATCTAGCTTTCTTTCACGGACCGAATCATACTCATTCTTCAGAAGAGAGGATGACAGGCACAAGTAATGGGTCGAAAAGTCCTGGGTCTTAAATCATGTAGCAGGCGCTGCCTCTTCCCTGGATCTCGTTCGTCCTGCGGTGGACCCTGGCTCCTGCGAGCACACTGCTCCCCACCAGCCACTGCTCCCTCCCTCCGAATCTCTGCCTGTAACACAGAAACACACCTTGGAATCTCCTATTGTCGAGGGGAGGGACACTCCTGACCCCACGTCCCCTCCAGCTACTGCCCACATTCCGCTTTTCCCAGGACAGAAGCTCACCCTTCACAGAGGTCTACATACTCTGTCTCCACTCTCTCACCCTCCTCCTACTCCTCCATCATTTGGGCCTTGAAACTCAAAGAAAAATCTCTAAAAGTTACCAGCATCCTGTTACCTAAATCTTTTCTGATCTTGTATTAATATCACATCTCAGCAGCATTCGATGACTTCCTTTTCCTTGGAGCATCACCTTCTCTAAGTCTCCTGGTTTCTAAATATTACCCGTCTCCAGGGACCATCAGCCCTCTTCCCCTTGGCACCCCATGACCTCACCCAGTCTGTGATTTTACACTTAATGCATAAACTGATGTCTGCCGAGGCAACGCCCCACCCCTAACCTCTCACCGTGACACCCACTCATCTCAACAACTACTCCTGGCCATGTAATAGCCAATTCATGTTCAAACGTCCAAGACAGACCTTGAGCTTCTTCCCCAATGATCTGCTTTCCCACAATCAGAATCCAATTGTTTAGACCAGAAACCTTGGAGTCAAGTCCCTAACTCCTGCTTTCGTCACATCTCACCCTCCGGCCACTCCTGTTTCCCAAATGCATCCTCCCGATTGACCAAGTGCACCATCTGCCCGTGAAAACCAGCCTGAGTCAGCGACAACTCACGACCACCTCTCACGCAGACCACGCACGCAGACACGGAGGCACAGCATCACACCCCTCTGCTTGCAGCAGGACATCCCGACTCCCCGTCCTGGACCGCAGGGTCCCACACTGCCGGCTGCACACAGCATCCTACGCTCGCTCGACCGCGCCGAGCCCGTTCCCACCGCAGAGCCTCCGGGACCCATCGGTGCTGCGAAGACCTTCGCCCAGCTATGCCACTCAGACGGTACCTCCGTTCGACCACAGAGTCGAAGCAGCCCAGGGCCCAGTCTTCCGCTGCCCAGCACGCCAACACACGAGCACAACGACACGGCCTGTCCACCTAGGTCTCGCCCACCCACAAGGAACCAGCTCCGGGGTGGCGGGCGGCCCCTCTCCCTGCTGCGTCTACCAGACCGCGGGCACGCAACCAGAGCGGGCGACCCCACCAGTGCCTCTCACCAGTGCCGTCAGAAAAGCGTGAAGTCGTCCATATGACGAGGCTCTAAATAAACAGAAAGTACCAAAACGCCTTTTTGTCTTTCAACATTGTTAGGGAACGTTTTATCAAAAGCCTATTGATGTTCCCTGAATTCCTAGAGTATATTCATCATGATTGTGTGTGTGGGCGCGTGTGTGTGTGCCGTGTGTGTGTGTGTGTGTGTGTGTGTGTGTGTGAACATCTGTGAGAGACAGAGTCCAGCCGCTTCTTGTTTCCAGCTCTGAATGGCCCCAAGCAGCTCCTCTGCTCGGCATAGTTTTGGCTTCCACTCCTAACTGGGGTGTCCTCCTCCCCTCTGGTAAATATGCTGCTTCTAATTCACGTGGATTAAGGGAGTAAACATTACAAAAATAATGCTGTATGGAAAAAAAACATAGTTTTTAAGTGAAGATCTGAACATCTTTACAAGGCACAGAGTGTGTGCTCTTAACAGCCACACGGCCGACTGATGGCACATCAGAAACTGCTCAGGATCAGTGCACGGCTTGCACATGGGGGGCCCCACAGGGCATGGAGCGGGGCTTTCAAAGAAAAAAGCCGCCCGCTCTGCCAAGAAGACCACTGTGCCACTGCCCGGCACTGAATAAACAGACTTTGAAAGTCTAGATTCAGAGCTGCTTTTTTTTTTCTAAAATTAGAAAACTGCATTATGTGGAAGTCTTAACTGTTCTCCATTAATCCCAAGGGTAAAACTTCTATTTATAAAATCCAAGGAAAATAACTCATCTAAATAAAATGTATTTTTTCCCAGAAATGGTAGTTATGACAAAGCATTCACCCAAGTCACTGAATTTATCTGCACTTCCTTTCTTGCTATGATTCGCTTTGATACCCTGATCTTCTCCTAAAAAATGACTTACATTACTTTCGGCTGATGTTTTCCATAAATATGAGACAGAAATGACTTTTCAACACACGCCAAATAAGATAAACGTCCCACAGGAGCCTCCCTGTAAGCTCACGCCCACAGCGTTGGAGCGTCTCCAGAACACACTTCTGAAGATGTGAACACACTAAGCTATACTGTGGAAGTAATCAATTATTTCTAACCAAAATTCACCTTTGAAACAGCAGAAAAGTGATGGTTCTAAGGCTGGCTGGTGGGCATACGAGACTTCAGTGTATTGTCTCTATCTCTGCAATCTTGAAAATTTGCATAAGATGCATTAAAGTTTTTCTTTTTCTCTTGCGTAGAATTACTATTACCTAAATAGTTTTATAGCCACATATACTATAGACACATTATATAATCAATACACTTAAATTATGTGCACATGGCAATGACACACATTTGCATATTAATAAATTTGCATTTGCAGATTAACCTCATTCCGTTAAACAGACAATTGGTGGTACAATTTTTTCTTATGACAGCTGTCATCAAAAACATAAAATGAAAGACACTTTGAAAATTATTGTTGCTTTAATTTGAGCCATCTTCTAAATTCCCAATGGTTTTGCCCTTTCTAATAAAACTTGACTGAATTTTTAAACACTTAACCCACAATCTACTCTAATTTAAATTATTTTCATTAAAAATTTAATCTTAGACGCATTTAATCCTCTTGACACTTCGCTCACTTAACTAAATATGAAACTGACATGCTCACAAATTAATTAGTGTTTAAACAGTAAAGGGGAAATACATAGAAAAAGCATCCCTTTCACAATTAGAGCCTGCTGCTATCAAAACTAGCAGGAGCTGGAGGAAATCAACCCTTCCCACGCCGTCCTAGTTGGTCTTTATATGTAAATCCATCTTCCCAAGGTCCTTTATTTTCTGTTCCAGTTAGGGTAAAATCACTGCATTATATAAGATGTTTTTGATTTTTTTTAATTTAACCCCAGATAACCATAAACAAGGCTGCTGTACCACCACAGAGTAGAAGTGATGAGATTTTTATGTGTGGACTGTACAAAAACAACAGTGGTGTAAACTGTGTTTCCCAGAAAAGGGCAGTCAGCTTCACACAATGAACGTACTGCACACAGAGATCTAAAACACACCACACCAGTGAGCTGAATCATTCTTTGAAGAGTTAAGAACATTCTGGTTTCTTAAGTATCTGCGCACTAAGAAGTAGATTTGTATTTGCCAGGACGGCAAATAATGCTCCGTTTTTTGGTATATTCACCAAGTGGTGTTCCTCACTTTAGGTGGGGAGGGCGAGGGGGAGGGCCAGGGGAGGGGAGAGGTTATCACTATGGCAGAAATGTCAAAAAATTCTGTGGGTGTACCTTATAGGGCCAAGTATGGACACTGGATGAGTCAGTGTTTTCATAACTTATCTTTAATCCTATTTCTAAATGACAATAAATGATCACAGAAAATTCTAGCATCCTGTTACTGTTCATCTTTTTTTTTTTAACTGAGCTATAGTCAGTTTACAATGTTGTATCAATTTCTGGTGTACAGCACAATGTTTCAGTCATACATCAATATACATATATTTGTTCTCATATTCTTTTTCACCATAAGCTACTACAATATCTTGACTATATTTCCCTGTGCTATACAGTGTAAACTTGTTTATCTATTCTATATATACCTGTCAGTGTCTATAAGTCTCAAACTCTCAGTCTGTCCTTACCCACCCCTCTCCCCCCGGCAACCACAAGTCTGTATTCTATGTCTATGAGTCTGTTTCTGTAATTTTATATTTAAGTTCATTTGCCTTCTTTTATTTTTTCCTCTGATCCCACATGAGTGTTCATCTTACAGTGGCTCACCTCAGCTGATGCTCCCGCAGGTTCGATAAGGCTTCCATACCATGCAAGTAGGAATACACTATTTCCAGATCCTGTTTGAAAGAAAGGACAGAAATAATTAGACTTATCAGGAAAAGAGGCTTCTAAAATAAATCATTATACTTACAGACCAAATTAAAGGTAGCTTTCTTTAGATACAAGTGGTCTTAGACATTAAAAAGAAAAAACATTAAGGGAAACGCTGAACTGTGCAAACATCCACTAGCTACAACTGCCTTTGGGACACACACAAAAGATATTAAAATATGAAACAAATGGGCTCAAACTTATGAAAATAAATTCCTCATAAGTTGTTATCACCTATTTTCTGCCTTTAACATCAAAATGTCACATGTAAAGTTTTACTTTTAAAGTATAAATATTTGCCAATTCCTTCATTACATTATTTCCTTAGTCAAGATAAAAATTAATCCATGCTATCTCATGAACTCTTAAACACGAGCATGAGTTCACTTTTTTTTTCAATTTTCACCAAATGACATTTCTCATATGTGGAAATATTCAAATTTAAATATCCTCTTTTAAAAAAGAGAGACAGGCCTTGTGTTTCTAGATCACATTGCAACACATAGGAAAAAGACTCAAAGCTATGCGTGAAAGTTTAGAACAGGTAAAAACCCCCAGTTCTGTTTACACTCATTTATATGGCAAGCCAGCAAGGAATCAGTACTTTTTTAAATTAAGGCATAGCTGAGGTACAATAGTATATAAATGTCAGGTGGGCAGGAATTCGTATTTTAAGGCTCCAATGAATGAATACCTAGCAACCTGTGACATCAAGAATTTGAGTAGATATCTACTCCTCCCCCAAATCTTAAGCAAAGTCGAAAACAAACATATTTTACGAAATTTGTAAAATTATCCTCCTCCTTAAAATAACAGCTCTATTGAGATATAATCTACACCTTTTGGGGGGGGGCGGGCAGGAGGGCACAGCAGCGCTGAGCCACTGCACACAGCCCATCCCAGCGGTGCACACGCCCCTCCCACGTCCGCTGGCTCGGCCAGCTGCGCCCTCCTCTCCAGGGTGGGGCTCAGGGCTCCTCTCCCGGGGTGCCAGGGAGGCTAGGACTCAACTCATCACCTGTGAGAAATTCAGTGTTTTCCTTTTTTATATAATCACCCTCACAATCCCTGAACACTTTGACCACCGAAAAACCACTCCTGTCAGCACCCGTTCCTCACCCTTCCTTCCCCCAGCTCCTAGCAACTGTTAGTCAACTTTGTTTCCGTGGATTTGCCTATCCCGGGCATTCTGTGTGAACGGAATCCCACAACGGAATTTACGACCCTTTGTGACTGGCTTCTCTCACTCAGCACAGCATCTTCCAGGTTCATGTCTCTCGTAGCCTGTAACACTTCTCTCCTGCTGCCGCCCAATAACACTCCTCTGCGGAGGCATGCCACATTGTGCTACCCACCCACCCACGGATGGACATCTGGATTTTTCCTACTTTGGGGCAAGTGTAAATGATGCCGTTGTAAGTCTCATGCGTGAGTTTTTGTTAGGACAGCCGTTTTCAGTTCTCATAGGTATATACCAGCGGGTGGACTTGCTGCTAACTCTGCATTCAGCTTTTTAAGGAACTGCCACATTGTTTACTTAAGTGGCTACATCATTTATAACCCCATCAGTGGTGTACGAGAGCTCTAATTTCTCTACACACATCCTTGTCAGCACTAACATCTGCCCTTTTTTATTTCAGCCTTCCCAGCTGTGCTCCAAGTGGTGTCCAGCTGTGGAGCTGCTCTGCATGTCCCTAACGACCAAGGATGCAGACCATTCTTCATCTGCTTATTGGTCATTTATACAACGTCTTTAGGTAAATAGCTATTCAATGCTTTGTTTATTTTTTAATTGGGTTGTCTTTTTATTTTTCCACTTAAAGAATTCTTTATGTATTCTGCATAGAAGGCTCTTATCAGATGTATCATTGGCAAATATTTCCTCCCATTCCCTGGGCTGTCATTTCACTTTCTTGGATGGTACCCTTTGAAGCACAAAGTTTTTAATTTTGACGAAGCCCAACTTATCTATTTTTCCTTTTCTGTTTATGCATTTAGAGTCACTGTTAAGGAACCATCATGTAATCCAAGGTCACCGAGATTTACTGACGTCTTTTCTTAGAAGTACTTCTTCTACAGCTGCTTCTTCTATTGAGGTCTAGGATTCATTTTGAATTATTTTCCACATAACATAAGGTCAAAGGCCAACTTCATTCTTCTGCATGCGATGTCCAGCTGCCCCATCTCCCTCTGTCGACAATACGAGTGCTCCCCACCGAGCTGCACTCTCGGGGAAAATCAGTTGCCTGTATTGTGGGCACCGATGTCTGGACCCGCAGATCTACTTCGTTGGTCTGTGCGTCCACCCTCCCGCCAGCCCCACACTGCCTCCTCTGTGCAGCTCTCTAGCAAGCCTGAAATCAGAAACCATGAGTTCTCCAACCTTCTACTGTTTTGGGTGCCTTGTGTTTCCATATGAGTTTTAGAATCAGCATGTAAATCTCTGCAAACAAGCCAGCTGGGGTTTTAACAAGGGTTGTACTGAACCTGTAGATCAACTCAGGGAGCATGACCGTCATAACAATATTAAGGCTCCCAACCCACGACGTGGGACGTTTTTCCATTTACTTAGACCTTCTTTAATTTCTTTCAGGAATACTCTGTATTTTTCAGTGTACAAGTCTTGCACTGCTTTGGTTAAATTTAATCCTCTCTTTTGATTAAGGGAAAAAAAAGTCTATTACCTTGGGAATACCTTTGAGAACGAGCCAAACTAGACATGCAATTAGATTTCATATACTAAGGGCACAGATCAGGGACAATGACTCATAGAATAACTACGTAAGGAATCTGAAACCTTTCTAAGAAGGTACCAAGAAGGTTTTCAGCCTAAAATATTTTACTGTACCCTTTAAACAATACTATGATGTGTTAGGGGGGGAGGACCTCATTTATAATTCTCAAGTGTCCCAATTTAAAATCTATCAATACCAGAAATTTAAAGTGTCACCCTCTGATGGTCAACTTTCAAATAAACTGACAGCCTTTAATTCTATTCATCTGTAGTCTTTGTTATTTCCCACAGACCTTTTAAAAGCTACTTAAAGACTGAAATCTAAAACTAGACCTAGAAATTCAATACAAATCAGAAAGCTAAACAAAACCTTTCCCACCACCTAATTATCAACGTGTGCGCTCCTGAAGCTAATAGATCTTTAGAAGCAATCATACTCCAATTATAATATTCTACTTGCAGGCAAAGAAAGCCAATAAAAAATGTGCTACTTAATGAGAAATGTTCTTTAATACTTTGTAATGCAAGATCCTTCTGAGTAATCCTAAAGTTCACATTCCATCTTAGATACTATAAATGTGTGTGTTTCTTGCAGTCATTAAATGGTGAAGACTGCCCTCCCGTTTCTGAAGCGCTTACAGCCTGAATCTAATATGAAAGTCTTACATTTTTTTCCCTGAAATACCTATCAACCTGTTATAACTGTCCAGGGCTTAAGACTGCTCCCTCTAAGCAAACAGACAAGCCCATTTACATTCACTTAGCACTCCTCCGCCAAATAAATCTACGCTGAGCAAGAAAGTTTGTTTGGGAAAGGATAGAAAGAAATAGGATTTTTTCGGAAGCTGGAGAAGGGGGAAGTCTTAAAAGAAAGAAAAATGACAGGAGACTTTGCAAGGCTGGAAGCAGAGTGGAGGGAAAGAACAGCCTTCGCCCTTAGAAGACCAGAGGCTTCTGCAGCTGCACAGATAAAACACCCCACCTCACAGCGGCACGGTGGGCTTTCTGGAGGGGTGAGGGGTGGGTTTAAACATATATCACACCGGCAATACACAAGCAAGGAGCCCTGTGCAGGGGTTTTGTGCGAGTATTTCAGACGCTTAGCTAGACCACGAGCTTCCCAAGTGAATTCAACATGACGACCGGAGCTCCCTCTATTATGCACAGAGTAAGTCAGCGCAAAGGAAACTGTTTCACATGGTCTGAGCCTCCTGAGCCGGGAAACGCGAGGCGTGGGCGTCATTCTTCCACACGAAGCTGTCCCGTGGAAGGCAGTTCGGTCTTGCTAGTTAGACAACTTTACGGATAGATTCTACCTAAACCTGAGATCTCTTAGGAAGGAGTGATGAGAAACTGTCGAGCCGGCGGGGGACACACACACACACACGTGTCCACGTCACGTGTCCCCTGCAACCATCCCGGGTGCGGGCGATGAGGAAGAGCCAAAAAGCTTCAGAAAAGGCACCAGAGAATCTGACTCTGGTGGATGAAAGAAAACAGCAAAGAGCAAGGAAATGAAATTAGAGGAGGGTCTGCGACCTCGCTGCTCTCCAGGGGAGAGCCCAGCAGGCAGACACCAGGCTGCCCAGCGACGAGGGACTGCAAGGAGGGCAGATGGCAATGAAAGGCGGGGGGGGGCGGGAGGGCACATCTCTCTTCCTTTCCTGGGGCGGGGGCACCGGGCGGTCTTCTGGAACAGGCAGATAGGGCCTTGGGGATCTTCCTACCCCTTTCTCCCACCCTCTCCCCAGGGGTCCAGCGACCTCGCCTTCTCCCCACCCTCCCTCGGGGCATCCCGTCTGCCCTAAGAGCTAAAGAAGATGGAGGAACACAAGCAGGAGTGACCTGAGGGGCTGGGACTCTTCCCTGGGGGCTGGCTGGCAGCATCTGTGTTTCCTCGTCCAAACACATCTGCAGGTGGTCCAGACTTTCAGCGGGGAAGGAAGAGATTCGCAGGTACCAGGGGCCCCTCCTGGCCGCGCTCCCTACACTTTCTACCCTCCTCTCCCCTCTGTGGCCTTTATTAATACAACCTACGAGTGGGTGAGGAGCTGCCTTCACAGCCAGGAAACGAGGCAGCTTCCAAGCTGACCCAAAATCTGCCCCACTCTCTGCCTTCCAGAGCAAGCTTCCTTTTAAGAGCAACCAGGAAACCTGTGGCCTTCCGGGACTTATCTTCTTGGAATCTCTTTTTCTCCCTCTGCACAAACAAGAGACATTCACAGAATGAAG